AGAGGAGTGATAGGACTTCTAACCGATCACAGCCACCCATATCATCTTCGAATGCGAAGCAACAGCTCAATGGAAATTCAACCTAACGTACGGAAAGGATCGAGTCTGTTGCACTGAACTAGAGTACTAGGAGGTACAATAAGCCAGAAGGCTGCAGAACCTGGGGAGCACAAACCCCTCTTCCTAGTATCTTCATCACCATCATAATCATCTCCCTTTTATTATTTAAGTTCACATGAGCGTCGATTCAGGCGCCTTAACTCTGCGTTTGGTTCATCCCACAGCGCCAGTTCTGCTTACCAAAATTGGCCCACTTTGCACTCTGATCCGATTCCCGCGGCTTCACTTTCAAGAAAGCCGGAGATCTCATCTATTTGGAGTTTGAGAATAGGTTGAGGTCGTTTCGACCCCAAGGCCTCTAATCATTCGCTCTACCGGATGAGACTCGTCTCAACCGAGCGCAAGCTATCTTGAGGGAAACTTCAGAGAGAACCAGCTACTAGATGGTTCGATTGGTCTTTCGCCCCTATACCCAGCTCCCACGATCGATTTGCACGTCAGAATCGCTGCGGACCTCCACCAGGGTTTCCCCTGGCTTCGTCCTGGCCAGGCATAGTTCACCATCTTTCGGGTATCAACGTGTGCGCTACAGGTGCGCCTCCACTCGTAACGAGAAAGAGACGCCCCGGGAGTGCGGGGCGCCGCCTGCGAAGGACGGACGCCCATCTTCCCTCGGGGGCCAGAGGCCCCATTCACTTTCATTTCGCCTTTAGGTTTTCCACCCAGTGACTCGCGCACTCGCTAAACTCCTTGGTCCGTGTTTNAAGGACGGACGCCCATCTTCCCTCGGGGGCGGAGGCCCCCTTCACTTTCATTTCGCCTTTAGGTTTTCCACCCAGTGACTCGCGTACACGCTAAACTCCTTGGTCCGTGCGTGTGCATTTCTTATTGATGAAGAGCATGTATGTATTAAGGGTCACATGTACCAACTTACTGGCTTATAAAGAGTTTCTATTAGCATCTATTGAAAATGTTAAGCAGGTCAATTTATGCTGATATTTCTAAAGCTTTGGATTCAGTGGATCACTGAATTCCTCTTGCAAAAATGGAACATTTGTGCTTTTGAGGTGAATTTTTACACTGGATCCAGTCTTACCTTGAGAATAGAAGGCTATTTGTTAAATTTCGTGGTAGTGTCAAGTGAGATTTCTGCTACTTGGCGGTTCCACAAGGATCGCACTTGGGTCCTCTTCTTTTATGGTTTTACATTAATGATGTTAAAACAATTATTCAATGCTCTAAGTTTTTATTACTTACCGATGATATTACATTTTTCAGAACGGCGAACTTCATTATTGACTATGAACTATTATAAAAAGATTTGTATGGATTCTCGAACAAGTTTCCCATTAATAGTTTAGATCTTAATACTGAAAGATTTATATATATATTTTTTTTATAAAGGTAGAAAGGGGTTTCCTTCAATCTATTTTTTGGGGTGGCACTGCAGTAGACAAAATTCCTGAAATTAACCATCTTGGCGTTGATTTGACTGTGAACTAGCATTAAAACAATAAAAGAGCTAGTGGTTTCTAAAGAATACCGCAATCTGGGCTTTATTAAAAAGAACACTTCAGACTTTACAAATCTGAAAATCATTAAAATTATATTTTTCGGTATTGTTAGGAGTATCTGGTGTAGTCGCGAAGAGTGGTCAGGAGTGAAGTATTTCTCGTAATATACTTAAAAATAAAGAATAAAGTCTTTCATGACCTTTCAAGTGTGTGAGTGTGTTGACAAACTGTCCTATTTTTGATGTGTCTTAATACGACGTGATAAATGTGAATAATAAAATTTTTTATTGTCTGAAATAAAAAAACAAACAAACAAATAATCCTCCTCTTCTAATTTTCACCAATGGCGTGAGATCCATATTAATCCACCATCAAGACATTTTATGGCATTTTTGAACTTTTGGTCTATGATCAAGAGAGCCATTTTTCTGTTTAACTTAATCATTCTGGATTATTCAGGATTGCTGATATATATTATTTTGGATTTATGGCGTATGGTACATGTACAAAAAAATCGTCTACTGTTGTCTGATATCAAACCTCTCAGATCTTACCAATAAATGATTTAAGTAATTCATAAACTTACCTTCGAAGCAATGTCCTAAAAATTGGGGTCATGAAAATATCAGTGATGTGGGACGATAATTACCTAATTCTTTCGTAGAGCCATTTTTAATTACAGGGATTAGTAAAGATGGTTTATACAAATAATGTTTAAACTTAAATTTAATTATATTTATTTATTTAATTTATTCCTGTATTGAAAGAAATCCTTGATCATTATGTTAATTAGTGGAACGAGGAAAAATGGATATTTTTGAAGGTTGTGCGTCATGAACTCCTTTCGACCGGTTGATGACTTGACTTAATTCCATACCTGTTAAAACGCTAGTTCTTACCAGAAAAAAAACTTTATGATATGGAGAAACTGCAATAATGAGATCCATGGGAGAGATGTGGATCTGGTTAGTATTAAAATAATTGTATTAAAGTCTCCGCCCTCCAAAAAACAATCTAAGCTGTTATCTATTTCCAAACATATTGTAATATTTTAAGGAAAAAGTTTTTTCCTTTTTAAAGTTTCAGAATATACGAAATATAGTAAAAATATCATTTTAGCTTTTGGAACCCAGATGGAAAATTTCACTTCTTTTGATATTTTTTTTATATCTCCATATTTGGATGATGGATATGGTACCTTGTCCGTTTGGTTTTACTGATGAAGGCAAATGTATTTAGTTTCAACTGCCGTAGTTTCCTCGTTTTAACTTACTTGTCTTTTTTCCTGTCTTTTATATTCCCGCTTAGTCCTACCAGTAATAAATGGAAATTTACTTATTGATATACCTGCCGATCGTGATTTATAGAAAAAATATATGTAAATTAAATAAACCGCTTGATTTTTTTCTCAGCTTTTTCCTCATTCTTCATAAATCAACTGTTGAATATGGCTTTTCAATAGTGGCAAGGGTTAAAATGAACTAATCATAAGGATTACGCGTTTATTTGTGCCATAATAAAAAAGTGATTTAATTTTTTTTGAGGATGACATGTAATATGTTCTACAGGTAAAAGATATTCTAGCACTGGTAATATCGTTTGTTTTTGCCAATTGCTGAAATGATATTGCAATTTTGTTTATTTCTCAGCAATTTTATTGTTTCTCTACCCAGCATTGTTAGACTATAAGCTATAATATAATTAAAAACCTATTTTTCTAGCAAGGCGCTGTTTAAAAATAACATAGTGCAAAGATATGATGGAATAAAAAAAACAACTTTTTTTTACTTTTGTTAGCAATTTTGTAAGCACGCAATAGTCGCTTACCGTATTGGTCCGCTTATTCTCAAAATATAATTTGTGAAAATGTTTGATGAAAACATAGACATGGAAATGTCGAATCAGGATGACTAAAACTATTAAATCTGACTAAAAAAATTGCAAACCACCTAGTATAACTTACGGGCTGCCATTTTGTAAAGCACTGACGTGTCTCAGAACAGTATATAATTCACTAGTTTCGTGGTCCGCTTGACCAATTAATATCTTTCAATTAATAAAGGTTTTTAGTTGAGAGAAAAAGTCAGTGTTATGAGCGGGATTCTAACCCACTATCTTCGGCTAGATACCACTTGAGCTATCGTGACCTCGATCCACTCGGACTAACTGACAGTGTGACGCTAACTTGAAAAATGGCAAAAGGGAGGTAAAATTCAAAAGGTGGGGTTGAGATGGGAAGTTAGTGCCCAAGGGGTTCGAAGTCACGATAGCTCAAGTGGTAGAGCAGCGGCGTATCTAGCCGAAGATCGTGTGTTCGAATCCCGCTCGTAACACTGACTTTTTTATCTCAACTAAAAACCTTAATTAATTGACAGTATATAATGTAAATTTATGAAGTTTTAAGAGATTTGAATTAATTTGTCCAGTAATTGTCTGATATGATATTGAATTTTTTAAAATCTGTGTTCGTTCTGACAAAATAACTGGACTTCACCTATAATAGCCGTACTAGGGCCCTGGATATCCGGCCTTTCCGTTTTGTTGATGTGCTGACAATAATTACGTTCTCATTACGTTTGGTATTTAGCTATGCAATTGCGAAAGAAATCATTTTCCTGCCAAACCTTCGTGCCGTTGGATCTTTGAAATTCGGCGGAAAAAAAATTGATTTAATTGCCAGGCGATAGTTGAAAGATTGGAAGTATTCAGTTAGAACTGAATATCCGTAAATGTCATCTTTTTGAACTAGGTACTATGCGCCGAGAAACTATGAAAACCCAGCACGCCATGCAATTGTAACATTATCACCCGACTAAATATATGTAGTTCTTTCAGTGGTAGTAAAAAATTTTGAATAAACAAGCAATCATAGAACAAAATCGACCTTCACCTAATAAAATATGCAACGAATGTTTTGTTCAATTATTAATATGATCCTTCATTCACCATTCAGATCTTTGTCTTCTGAAGGTCGCATATTGTTATGCGTTATGTTTTTTTGTTGAATTTAACTACAACACGATCTGAGTTAAGTGCTGTGACTAAGCACAAACAATTAAACAACTTGCCAAATAAATTATAATTAACTTTAATTTTATCATTTGCGTTATTCCCCTTTGTATTTTAGTTCTAATCTTCTGCCTGTTGGTTTATTAATATTAATAATAGTTTTTAAATTCCACACTGTCCGTTACATATATTAGCATACATAAGATAATCATTGTAATTGTATTTTTTATCAAAAAGCTGCATATAAGTTTATTTTTCCATTTAAACATTTTTTAGATAATGTACGATATTTTCTATAAGGGACAACGTGTCTCAGAGCAACAATTTTTGAAAATTTTAGTCTGTACTTTCATTTACTAGCCATTTCTGAAGGTTAAAAGTAGAAAATCAAACTAATATTAATAAGTAGTATATGATCTAATTAGCTGTTTTATTATTATAGAATATTGTTCAAACCAGACGGGCTTTGTGAACTCGTCGTCTTTTTGGTACCGGCGTCTATGGTGGTTCTTGGAGGTGTTTCTCTTTGGAAGGCCTTCCTCTGGTGGAACGTCATATTGCTCCTGGCAAGTTTCTTTTTCGGAGTCATCGGCCTTAACGCTGCCCATCATCATCCAGAGTTGTTCCACGACGGCGACGAGCCCAGGTGAATTTGTTTCAGTTTATTTTATGGAATCCATCATTAACATCGCCTTTTTTCTTTTTGACCAGGGATAAAGACTTGGATTGGGGCCTTGCCCAGATCGACACTGTGAGGGACCGGGTTGAAATTAAAGGTAACGTGCCCTTGACGCTCGTCCTCTTCGGTGAACACTGCTTGCACCATTTATTCCCGACGGTGGACCACGCTCACCTCCATAAACTGTACCCACTACTCGAGGAGACCTTGGATGAGTTCGGAGTCGAGTACAAAATGGGTTCTATTTGGGATTTGATCAGGGGACAATTTCTCCAGCTCGCAAGGAACCACAGCGTTTCATTTAAAAAGACACAATGACTCAAATCAACTCGTAGCGTATCATTTTTTATTCCTTCAACTCTTTCTCTCTACTATGTACACCTAGTACTTAAACCATACTTGTACGATATTTATTGATTAAAAATGCAACCAAAGTTAAAATCGAGTCTACTTGTTCGATAATTTCTAGAAAATTATAAGTTAGTCAACAATACTTTTTGTGATAATTATTACACGCCCTTCAAAATTAAACTATGTTTGAATATTTTGTAACAATGATGTAATTTTTAATAAAATGATCGTATTTTTATGTTTACAATTTTTAACTAGCCGCACATTATTTCAAACGCGAACAAAACTGGATATTTTTGAAGTAATAAAATTCAAATCTTGGTCGTTGTGAGTTTTATTGGTGTTGATTAGGTTAGACTATATAGGAGCCGGCCTTTTTACTATCTGTGCACTGCGACCTATTTTCTATTTTTTTATCTAGAGCTCTTCGTTAAGCTTGAGGCTTTTTACCAGAACCCAAAGCTTTTTCTGGGGCAGCCGTGGGTATCCTTCAGGCCCTGGCTTTTCCTCTCTCTCGATAAGGAATCTCAGCCTACATAGGCCCTCACTCAACAAATGACATGTTCTGCTGTTTCTTCTTCTGGGCAGTATTTGCACAGGCTTTTTTCTGCCACTCCGAGTCTATACATAAGCATCTGAGAGTCTGCAGTGTCCAGTTAGCAGTCCAACTATTAATAAGTCCTAGCACTCCTAGATTATTAGTTCTGCCATTAGTTTCTGCGATGGTCCTTTGATAAACTTTTTCGCATGCCTCTGACCCGGGCTAAATTCCGATAGAGCGGAGGACTTATTATTAATCCATTGTCTAATGGATTTGCGTTTTTGGCAGTTTGATAAACACAAAAGGGTTCAGGGCCAATATGTGTCCCCATTGAACTGTCCTTGGCCAATTTAACAGTCTCTTCGTTGCCCCACTGCCGTGTTCCCTGGCACCGAGACAAGGGTAATTTTGTTATTTTCTCCAATGTCTGACAGGGCTGCAGCCCCAAATGACTCAGGATTGTACCGTCGATGCGGCAATTGCCTTCAGTGCCGCTTGGCTATGCACGTAAAGAGTAGATGACTATTCTTATATTGACAGTCCCCAGTCTTTTTATCTCTCTGGCACAGAGTTCAACAGGCGCACTTCCCCACATGAAAAAGGGTGCCACATTGTCCAAGGTTTTGGTTGTTCTAGTCCTTAGTTTATGTCCATAAATGCCAGCTCTTGACCCATATTCAGTTTTGGAGCCATCTGTAAACCAGATGATCGGATCCCTTTCTCCCAGTCTGCTCTACAAGGTAGTTTGATTAGAATTTTTTTGTCAAAACTGAATTTAGGGGTCATGGCATCAGTAGGCATCTCCAAAGTTCTGTCTAGCAGAAGCTCCCCTCGAAGCTTTAGTTGCTCTTTATTAAATGAGTAGGCTATTGGTGGTGATTTGGTTATGATTCGTCGTTATAATGATTTCTATATTTAATGACTTTTGCGTTTAAATTTACTTGGTTATTAAAAATATTCCAAAAAGAAACTTACAAAAAGCAATTTTAAGGTAACAGAACCTTGTCCATTAGATATAGGGCAGATTGGCCCAATGTTAAAACCATACACATTCCTCGAGAAGTTGAAAAAATATCTTTCCCTCATATCACCTGGATGAGGAAAGTACGAATTGCAAGTTTTGTTTGGCTGGTCGGCCTAGGCACGCTGATTGGCTTTTCAGTTTCTAGTCATCACCATTGTTGGTTCTGACGCGGGTGACAGATCAAGACAGGGAGGAAGTTTAGACCAAAATGATCGGAAACGACCAAGCTACAGGTTCAGGTAATCTATATCTATTTTTGCATTCGTATATTTGTTGACGAACTGAGTCGACCAAACTAAAGGTTAACTCCTCCCAGTCCTCAACATATTTAAGCTGTATCATACATATACACTTAATGTAATTTGTTTCTAAATGTTTATTGTTAGCACATGCAGCTTGAGTCGATTTTTCACTTGCTTCGGTGTTGCTACTTTATTTGATCCCGTGATGATGAACTAAATCGACATTGCTGATAGTTCACATGTAGATGTTGGTATGTAATCGACTAAGTACCAAAAATCTTCATTATCAATTCGATTCAATCTGTTGTAAAACGGACGGATTGTCCTGCAGTAAAGACTCAACTTAATACAGTAAGAACACTTGGGCTTGAGCATTTGATGTTAAAGAAGATCTTTACATTTTATATCATTTTCCCCAACTCGATATCAAAATTTCCATCCTTGTCGTCCATTTTCTTCTGAAGGCAAATGCATGCCATGTGTGTGCATCGGCGGTGTAACACAGAACAACTAAACCTAGGACTAGAATGATAGTAGGGCTGCTGACTGGGCACTGCAGACTCCGGAGGCATGTCTAGAGATTCCGATCAACAGAAATAAGCCTGAGGAGATAATGGTATAAAGAACAAAAAGAAACAGCGAAACGCCTTTCTTTAGTGCAGTAATCTCCTAGTAATGCATCTCCTACCAGCCTAAACCGAAACCTAGATCACTATGAAACGTTATGAATTTTTAAAAATGCGGGTTGTAATTTTCACAAATGGTTGAGTACAACATTGTACAGCTACTGCCAAGAAGAATAAGAAACTGCAGGACATGTCCTCTGTTGGTGCTAAGGCCTATGCAGGCTGAGATTCCTGCATCTGGGGAGGAAAAGTCAAGACCTGAAGGATGTACGGGAACCCATTATTAAGCTTTGGGAATCTGGTAACATGCCTTACAATTTAGACAAGGTGGATTTATGTAGCACAATAAACCAATATTGGTCGCGGTACGCTAGAACACCGGGATCCGTGACAGATACCCCTTAGTATTCAAAGTCTAAACCTAGGTCCTCATGATTTCTAAGATTCCCAAGCGAAACAGCATGTGGTCGTTTGCACACAATTCTTCCTAGATGACTCTTTGTTGTTTAGTGAATGGCATTCTGGCTTTATCCGGGCTGAACATTATACATATTATGCAGGGTGGGCGACCAAGACCCGAGGGGTTAAATGCCTGGGTAGACTCGTAAACCATCCCTAAAAGGTCCGGGACTTTGTCGGCTCACGGGTCCTGCATAAACCTCTTGGACTTGTTCACAAACCCCAAGATTTTGGACCATTTTATCTCAGGGAGTGATTTGGTGATGTCCTTTCCTTCAAAAATTTCAAATCTAGACCTAGCATACCTATCACATTCTGCGAGGTAGTGCTTTGCCGTTTCTTCTTTTATTTCGCAGAAGCGGCAAAAGGGATCTGGTAGGATATTTGAGATAGAAGAGGTGTCTTCTCAGTGGGCAGTGGCCCGTCAGAATATCTATCAGCCTCCTAATTCCTTTCCTTGAGGGAGAAAATAGCCATTTCGATTCAGCTGTTTGATCGCCTTAACAAACTCTTTCGATTGCCTGTGTCCGGGGGATAAATTCCACTCCCTAAGGAATTGTTTCATGCCCCAGTTATTGATACTCTCTTTCGCTGTGCTCATAGAGTGAGGTAATACCGGTTGTGGCCCAACAAACGCAGTATTAGAACCTTCTTTGGCTAGGACATCCGCCTTTTCATTGCCCTGGTGTCCTTTATGTGCAGGTATCCAAATAAGGGTTACCTTGTTCTCAAACCTGAAAGAGATCCTATTGATAAGATCTATAGTTTCCTCCACCAGTCGTGAGGTTGACAAATCTTTTTGTAATGCCCTAAGACTAGCCTGACTGTCAGAAAAGATTTTAATATCTTTTTCCATAATTTTATTTTCCATCAGGGTTCTACAACACATATTGATGGCCCAGATTTCCGCCTGAAAAACGGAGGTGTTATTGCCAAGAGGGGAGGAGATGCTGATTCCTAATTTTGGTATGTAAATTCCTGCACCACTCCCTCTACCTTTGATAAGTGATCCATCTGTGTAGCAGTCTATGTTACGATGGTCATCATCCAGACTATAATCATAATCACAAGGGGTGACTACCTGAAAGTGCTTTTTCCTCGAAGGGGTTTTAATCTTTTTATCACTAACGCTTAATAATTGACCATTAACCTTACTCAATAGTTGAGAGATTTTCTAGTGACCTATGTTATTGGACTTATGATTCCAGCTGCCCTCGCTAATTAATCTATAGCATCTGATTAGTGCTCTGATCTTAACCTCAATGTGAAGTGGTGTGGTATTGATTATGATTTCAAGAAATGCTCCTGTCATCATCAAACAACCTAGTCTTTGAAATGACCTTAATTTATTATTATTCCCTTTATTTTCTAGACCTTTCCACCACACTAAAGCTACGAAAAAGAATCTAGGTAGAATAAATAATTTCAGTATATAGCCATTTGGCTGCCCATGGTTTGATGCCCCATGTTTTACCGACAATTCTCCTACATTGTACCATTGATATGGTGCCTTTCCTGTATATGTTATTAATATGACCTTTCCAATCATGTTTCCTGTCAAGTGTCACACCAAGGAATTTGACTGAATCCACTAACTTTAATTCTATGCCCTGACATTTAGGGTTTTTAAAATTACCTAATGTTCTTCTCCTGCTAAACATTATCAATTCTAGTTTAGCAGGATTAATTGATAAACCTTTGTCACAACACCACCCATAAAGTAATCCCATGGCGTTTTCCATCAGTAGTGAAACAGTCAGGGGATCCCTACCTGTGAGCATTATGGTACCATCATCTGAACATAATTGACTGTAGAAGCCTGAATTATTCAGAAGTTCTAGTTACCAGTTCAGTTAAGCTGTTTACCGTAATTAGCCATAAAAGAGGTGATAAACAGCCTCCCTGTGGGCTGAACATTAATATTATGACCTTTCTTTTAATATTTTGCGGTGATGAGGTTTTCCTGTTATTCTATTGATTCCTGCCTGTTGAATTTTGTATGTTTGCTTAAATGCCCTTAATGTATGTATCAACGTTTTATTGCGCCTAAAAACATTTTAATTATTCGACTGTTGATTGCGAAGTCTGGTGATGATTAGATCCTTCTGATTTGTAAGACGCCCACCCGACGTCGTAGTTGGCACAAATTCGATGTGAAATAAAAAAATTACAGCCAGTTTTGGACAAGACAAAAAAATTTGACATTTCCTTTTGGAGTCTGCGGAGCGGAAGGTGCCTGTTATGAGAATG